TCAGACCACCCTCGTACGTCTGGACGTTTTCCGCGCGGGAAATGGTTTATCGCGGAGCGCGTAATTATTTGCCCAAATTGCTCGCGCGAACTTCGGACGACGGAGATTGCAATAATTTCCTCCTTTCAGCGACATCTGAAAATTCTTTTGACGAGCGTCCCTTGTTATTCCGCGTCGCCGTTTGCGGCGGCTTCTTCGCTCGCGCTCGTTTATTCTCTCCCCCGGCCGCGTGAGAGAGTAATTTGTTCACGTCACTTGTCACTGGAGGCTACTTAAAATGAGCAAGGTCCAGGGTAAACAAGACTGGTCGGAGCCGATATCAAAGGGCAGATTTTCGGCCGCCGTCCCGTCGGCGAGATTCAGCTACAGATCGCAGGCGAATAACGCAGAGGTAAACTAATCCGAAGAGTGCTGGTCAAAAAAATCGCGCACGCTAGGTTAGTTACAATTAATCCCAAAAGGAGGACGCATCTGCGCGTTTGGTATGTGTGTTTGTGTGTAAATTCGTTGAGAGAGACGTAGATAGAGAGTGATAATTAATCTCTCTCTTTTTTTATTTATCTTCCCGTTCCTTAATTAACTAATAGTCAAAAGTACGCCGCGAAGATAATATCCGCCGGCGTGCGTCCTACCTCTTTCTTTCATTCGCGTGATCTTCGTTATTGCTCGAATGTTCTATCATGTATGGCGAACGCAGCCTTCAATTCAATCGGAGTGGCTGAAGAATTTACGCGGAACGCTCTTATCCCGTGTCCTTTTCGTTTTTTCTTCTCTTTCTTTTCACGCCAGACGTCGTGCCGCGGGCGTTGCCGGGGTATTCCTCCCCGGGGGAATCGAAAATGAGACGTGTTTCTTATTTCCGGACAAACCCAGAAGAGAAAAACGCTGTCGAAGTTCTCGATGATCGGTATCAATGGCGGCCCAATGCTCTTCCACCGGCGCGGGGATCGACTTAAGGTACGCTCGCCACCGGCGCCGCGGAATAAATTGGACGCAAATAAATGGAACCACCGTGGAAAATGAGCAAGTTTTAATGCCCGGCGAATTTCGATGCGCCTGGAGAATTGTTTCGTTCACTCTTGAAATGAGATTTCCGGGAAAAATTAGAGAGCGGATAAAAAATTTCGCGTCATATAATTTCCGAGTGAGGTGTCCGACGCGATATCTCGGTTAACGAGAGAGAAAGAGAGAGAGAGAGGGTGGGGAGGGTACAGAGAGCGCGCGGTCGTGGTAAGAAATTTCACGCTCTCGCGTCCGAGTGTTTCGCGGCTCTTGTTAACCATTTGCATTTTCCGGTGTGTGCAGCACATCGTCATGTGCTCTTTTACGACTTCTCACAAGCGTTCGCATCTTTCAGATTTTACTGCAAAATTTCTGTACACCGAGAAAAAATGTAATCTTATCCTCAACGGGATTCTCCAGATCCCATAAAATATTACTCTTATATTCGTACAAATAAGTACAAATTTGTAGGATGCGTCTCGGAGACATCCTATGTCAAAAAGCAATAGGATATCCTTCGGACATCTCTGGATAAGATGTCTTTCGGACATTTGTGCTGTACGGTTATGTGGCCTCAAAGGATCCTTCTGAAACCAAAGGAGAAACATTTCAAGCATAATACTCTAAGTTACAGGAATTTCGTTCTTTATCTGCAGTACAAGTCTTTGTTCTCACTAGTAATCTCCACTAGAGAGGGCATTCAAGTAAACGTATTCCTTCTCATTCGAAAGCAAAGAATAATATCTAGTAAATTTCCGACTAATAGTTCTCTTCATTAGAAGAGAAATAAAGGAGAAGATGATAATATGGAAACATAAAGTGGTAATATGAAACAAGGCTGATTCAAACAATGTGATCTCTATCAGTAACCGAAATAAACATAACCATTAAGGTGCTTACCGATCACGGCTAAACGAGCCTGGCTTCAGTGTCACATTATTTAAAGTGTTAAGAGAAACCGTTTTGTTTTCTCCTTGTTAAAACTTCTCACAAGATGCGATTCAGAAATATTTTTCCCCGTCTTAATCGATAAATCTAACATATACTAGCTACAGTATATCGTTTAGTTACAGGATAAAATCTAAAAGTCGCAGAGTTAGGTATTTGGAAATATTTTTCTTACTCTGAAATTTATTGTTTTGTTTGAAAAATAGCGAGGTGCAATGCAGAATAAGATAAATATTCCATATTACGTCTTAAGTTATAGGTGTGAAATTGATATTTTTATTTGTGACTTTTGTTTATAGGCCTGAAGAACTTTTACAGAATTAAAATTATTGAGCTTAATTTTTTAAATTTTTATAGGAAATTTTATTTTCATTTTCAGCTTATGAATTTAATATTCAAAAGAATTCGATAAAAAAATTGTTTTAACATTAATAATTTTATAATAACAAAAAATAAGCTTTTTTATTTTCATGCCTGTTTCATATTACTAATCAATTTTCCAAAATCCCATTTCTTAAACCGTTAAAAAAGTTTTTGCTTTCTTTCAACAGTTTTCTTTAATTTTCCTAATAATTATGAACACATTATAAGAGATAGATTTCCCAGTACTTTTGAAAGTTATTGATGCAATTATTGCATTTAATGTTGGATCTTTTGTTTAAAACAAAAAAATGGTCCATATTTCCGCCCTGCTCTTTTAGCGAGAGTTTTTGTTTAAAATATGGGATTCCAGGGAATATCACCTTGCAACTAGAATTGTTTTTTTGGGTGTGGTACACAAATTCGTTACACGCCGTACGAAATTCAACTTTCCGTGTTTGTTTTCGTGTTTGTACTCGTATCGATCGACGTGCATTTCCGCTATTATCTTACAGTCACTAACCTTTTGTGGGCTTATATTGAGTTTATCTCAGTATCATGTTTCGTTATGGTCGATCCTATAATAAATATTGAACTCATTAATGATATACTCAATATATATATATATATATATATATATATATATATATATATATATATATA